TTCCTCTCTTCTGAAGTTTCTCTCTTTCCTGAACTCGTTCCTCTGTTAGAATCTTTTCTGTCTGGAGTTTAAGTTCAAATATTTGCTTCTCTCTTTCAAGTTCAAGTTTTATCATTTTTTAAGAATCCCTACAGTGTGGGAACAGGCCCTTTGCCCCAACAAGTCCACACTGACCCTCTGAACATCCCACCCAGACCCATCCCCCTATAACCCACCCAATCTACACATCCCTGAATATTATGGGCAACTTAGCATGGCTAATCCACCTAGCCTGCACATCTTTGGACTGTGGGAGGAAACCGGAGCACCCGGAGGAAACCCACGCAGACACTGGGAGAATGTGCAAACTCCACACAGACAGTCACCCGAGGGTGGAATTGTTTCCTTTCTATTTCAAACTGCTTTACCTGCAGCTGAATTCTAGCCAACTTGAGCTGAGTCACATCTAGGTGAGACTCTTCTTCCGAACCCAGATGCTGTGCTATTATCTCCACTTTCTGCTTTAAGCCTTACTTTCTGTTTCAACTCCTGACAATGTTATTTATCAAACCTTGGTTCGTTCCTGTAAATTACTCTGGGATAAATATTCCTTTTCTAGAGAAGTTGTAGTAACTGATAAAGCCATTTTTATTTCCAGTATTTATTGTAAAACTCTCTAGGAAAATCTTAACCAGCCTTAACATAAGCAAGGACGAAAACAAAGTTGCTGAAAAAGCTCAGCAGATCTGGCAGCATCTGTGAAGGTTAAAACCGAGTTAAGGTTTCGGGTCCATGACCCTTCCTCAGAACTGAGGAAGTATTGAGTACTGTCGACGTGATATTAGTCACCTCAATTTCTCTGCCCCCCTCACCAAATCTAACCTATCTCCCTCCAAACTGACTGCACTCCATGCACTCAGATCTAACCCTGACTTTGTTATTAAGCCTGCCTATAAGAGTGGTGCTGTTGTAGTCTGGTGTACTAACTTCTACCTTGCAGAGACTGAGCGCCAACTCTCATACCTTCTCCTACCTTCCCCTGGACTGTAACCCCACCATGACACATCAGGCCATTGTATCTACTATGGTAACTGATCTCATTTCATCTGGTGATATCCCCCCTCTGCTTCAAGCTGATAGTCCCCCAGCTCCACACAGCTCGCTTCTACCTCCTCCCAAAAATCCACAAACAGGACTGTCAGGGCAGACCCATTGTTTCAACCTGCTCCTGCCCCCCACAGAACTCATCTCTTCCTACCTTGACTCAGTCTTCTCTCTCCTGGCCTAATCCCTGCCCACATACTTCCGTGATTCCTCTGATGCCTTATGCTGGTTTCAAAACTTCCAGTTTGCCGGTTCTAGCCGCCTCCTCTTTACCATGGACATGCAATCCCTTTACATGTCCATTCCCAACCAGGAGGGTCTTGGGGCTCTCCATTTCTTCCTGGAGCAAAGACCTGAGCTATCCTCACCCACCGCCACCCTCCTCCGCTTGGCTGAGCTTGTCGTCACCGTCAACAACTTCTCTTTTAACTCCTCTCATTTTTTTTCAGGTAAGAAGGTGGCATGGGCCCTAATTATGCCTGTTTCTTCATGAAATATGTGGAGCATTCCTTGTTCCAGTCTTGTTCCGGCCCCCACGACTCTTTCTCTGATGCATCGATGATATCATCGGTACTGCTTTCCTCTCTCGTCTGGAATTGGAAAACTTCATCAATTTTGCCTCCAATTTCCACCCTGCCCTCACTTTCACCAGGTCTATCTCTGACTCCTCCCTTCCCTTCCTCGACATTTCTGTTTCCATTTCTGGGAATAGACTGGCCACTAATATCCACTTAAAAATCCCACTGACTCCCACAGCTACCTGGACTATACATCCTCACGCCCCACTTCCTGTAAAGACTCCATCCCATTCTCTCAGTTACTTCGTCTCCGTCATATATGCTCAGATGAGGCCAACTTCGACAAGGGAGCCTCCGAAACCCCAACTTCTTCCTCAAACAAGGATTCCCCAGCTCTGTTGTCGACAGGGCCCTCAACCAGGTCCAACCCATCTCCCGCACTTCCGCCCTCACGCCTTCTCTTCCCTTCCACAACAGCGATAGGATTCCCCCTGTTCTTACCTATCGTCCCACCAGCATCCACATGCAGAAGATCATCAGATGCCATTTCCGCCACCACCAGACACACATTCCCCTCCCCTCCCTTGTCCGCCATCCGCAGGGACTGTTCCCTCCGGGACACCCTGGTCACACTTCCTTCACCCCCAACATCACCTCACAGCCCTACGGCGCCTTCCCCTGTAGCCGGTGAAGGTGCAACACCTGCCTATTTATCTCCTCCCTCGCCAGTATCCAAGGGCCTAAACATACCTTCCCAGAATCTAGTCTACTGCATTCGCTGCTCACAATGTGGTCTTCTCTACACGGGAGAAACGAAGCGTAGACTGGGTGACCACTTCGCAGAACATCTACGTTCTGTTCACAAAAAAGACCCTGAACTACCTGTTCCCTGCACTTTAACGCACCACCCTGTTCCCTGGTCAACAACTCTGTCTCTGGCTTGCTGCAGTGTCCCAGTGAAGCTCAACACAAGCTGGAAGAACCACACCTCATTTTCCGCTTGGGGATCCTGCAGCCCTCTGGACTTGATATCGAGTTCAATAATTTTAGGGCCTAAACTCTCCTATGTCCCCAACCCCATACACCAGGCCTTGTTACCACATAGCCTGCCATTACACACCACCTGTTGTTAGTCACTAATAGTCCCCATTAACAATTATTCACCCTCCCAGCCTGATCATTATCAACTCTGTCTGTCCAAATGCTCTTCTCTCTCTTTAGACTCTATCCTATCATTTACTCCCTACCCCATCCCCCTCCCTTTTTTTTTCTGCATATAAGCCGACGTGTTCCCAGCCACAGTTCTGAGGAAGGGTCACCGGACCCGAAACGTTAACTCTGTTTTTTCCTTCACAGATGCTGCCAGACCTGCTGAGCTTTTCCAGCAACTTTGTTTTCGTTCCTGATCTACAGCATCCACAGTCCTTTCGGTTTTTATTAATATAAGTATGTCCTGAAACTGGTGTTCATCTGTGGATTTTAAATTCTGCAAGGAGTGTTTGATTATAAGGAGAGGCTGGGTAGGCTGTGACCTCTTTCATTGGAGCTTAGAAGGTTGAGGGGTGACCTTTATAGAGGTTTACAAAATCATGAAGAGTATAGATAAGGTAAATGGCAGGTGTCTTTTCCCTAGGGTGGGGGATTTCAAGATTGGGAGCATGTTTTTAAGGTCCGAGGAGAAAGATTTATAAAAGACACGAGGGGCAATTTTTTTTTTACACAGTGGTTCGTATGTGGAATGAACTTTCAGAGGAAGTGGTGGTGGATGCGGGTACAGTTAGAACATTTAAATGATATTTGGGAAAGTATGTGAATAAGAAATATTTGGAGGGATAAGGGCCAAGAGCAGGCAGGTGGGACTAGTTTAATTTGGGATTATGATTGGCATGGACTGGTTGAACCAAAGGGTCTGTTTCTGTGCTGTATAACTTGAAGAAACTGGAAATCCATAAAATCCTGGACCAGACCACCAAACGTATGTCATAATCTAGGTCAGGACCAGTGTTTTTTTTTAAAATAGTAGACAAAGTGTGAGATCTACGGTATCATTTGGAAAAATGAAGCCATAAAATTCCATGGATTTAAACAAACAACAATAAGCTTTGCTATACAATGTCAGAATGGTAATACAATAATAAACAATTTATGATACAACTTACTTCTAACACCCAGAATTAACATAGTAAACATGGACAATTGACTGCAATCAAATACCCGACAGTGCACATCAGACAATATGTGTAATCAACATAGATCCCATGGATATTTTAGCAATTTCCCTGAGATGAAAAAGACTCAGTGGATCAGCAATTCTCATTAAACCTAGGGGATCGCAATTCTTCAGCATTTCCAATCTGACCTTGTTATTCCTTCTTGAGGCACTCTGACTGCTCCCATTTTTCCTTTGGTCTAATCTGTCCTGATATCCAGAAACTGCACTCCAGAGCTCTCATGTATATACCTCCAGCTACTCTCAGACAGCTAGCTTCATGGAGCCAGTTTTTTGCCCCAAGCTCCAATCTTGTTCAGTTGCATCAAACGGCTATTGCTTGTGAGCTTTTCAACCCCCGCTCACTCAGCTGCATGAAACATTAATACAAACAGTCATCTTCCAAGCCTCTCAGGTCTTCCTCAGATCTAAAATCCCTCGTTCCTGGACTCTCTGTAGACAGAAGCTTCTATAGTTTAGCTACCTTCCAAGCAATACTGCTCACTTCTGTGCTCCTAACACTTAGTTTTCTCATGTCTGTATCTCATCCTCACTCACTGCCTGTAACCTTTGAACTCTTGTGCAGCAACCCCTGAACTGTCCTATTGAAAACCGTGCAATAGACCTTTCTCTCATTGCTGGGCAGAATTGAATGTAGCCATCCAGCAACTGTTTGGACTGGGTATACTCTGAATATTATAATTTGCAAATTGCTGGCATCTGTGCATAAAAAGCTTAAGAAAAGAAGGATTCAGCACAGTTTTAAAATATAATTTTGAAGGCATGACTGTTAGGCTGCTATTTGAATAGCAAGCATAGTTTGAATAACATGAATAATTCTTTCAAAGTCTCCCAATTCTTGCACAAACCTCCAAATGTCAGTGAACAGGATTTTGTAATGTCAGTTAGGCTGATTGTGCCTTTGCCACGTGCAATGCTGGAATCGATGATGTGCAAGATTGTATACTTAAAATAGTTCTTTGCAGTAGTTTGATACAAGTTAGCAGCTTGCCTGATTATTTCGGAGGACAGTTAAGAAAAACCTCCCTTCTGTGGTTTTAGAGATGCATATAGACAGTTTGTTTTGTGCATCCATTATTACGTAAAATAAAAATTCTAATCATGGTTTAACTTGCATGGTTTTTCTTTGAGCCAGTTACATTGTCACAACATAATTTCTGTATTTTTAGGAACCTCCAACTAGTCCAAAGTTAATCCAGGATAACAACAATGAGCCACCCTCTTCACCAAAATACTTGCAGTCATCACCAGTTGTAAGTATACATGCAGCAACAACCAAAAAGGATTTCTCATTAGGAGCTGTTGTGGTGTAGTGGTAGTGCACCTACTTCTAGGCCAGAAGGAACAAAAACAAAGTTGCTGGAAAAGCTCAGCAGGTCTGGCAGCATCTGTGAAGGGAAAAACAAGAGTTA